GAGGGATCCTCTCTTCTAATTTGATCTTATATTCCTCATTGCAACTCTTTTCTTACTCTTTGATCATTTTTGCTTCATGGACACGTAATTATCAATTTGTACCTATAGAATACTAAATCCACCAATTAAAAAAGAAATATAAATTAACCCATAAAAAAATCCACGTAAACGTAAACGTTGAGTGTTATTTCTACACTCCACTGTATCTTTTGTATCTTGTGTTTTTGCTGTTGTTTGGTTATGCGTATTAAAGTCCTCGTGTTGTACTTCGTGTTGTTAAGAACGTTGTTGCGAATGCACTTTTGCGCATGTTTTTTTACATGTACATTTGTGCATGTCCATTTGAGCGAGTGTGTTTGTGCATGTTTGTTGATTTGTATTAATGTCCTAGGATTGTAGTTTGCGTTTTCATGATCCTTTTTGCGAATGCAGTTTTGCGTGAGTAATTTTGTGCATGACTTTGTACTTTTACTTATGTGCGTATCTTTTGTAGCGAGTGTTTTTGTGCACGTTTCTTGATGCGCATTCGTGTCCTCGAACTGTAGCGGGTATTTTCATGATCGCTGTTGGAATCCAATTTTGACCGTGTTCGAGTCCAAATTTGGAAATTTGACATTAAACAGGAATTGTAGCCAGCTCAAATAGCTTTCTAATGCCGCCAGAACCAGTCGATTTGGAGTCCGGATGAGAAAGTTATGCTCGACTTCGTGGACGCTACCGAAGATGTTGAGGGATCCTCTCTTTTATTTTGATTTTATTTTCCTAATTGCAACTCTTTTCTTACTCTTTGATCATTTTTGCTTCATGGACACCTAATTATCAATTTGTACCTATAGAATACTAAATCCACCAATTAAAAAAGAAATATAAATTAACCCATAAAAAAATCCACGTAAACGTAAACGTTGAGTATTATTTCTACACTCCACTGTATCTTTTGTATCTTGTGTTTTTGCTGTTGTTTGGTTATGCGTATTAAAGTCCTCGTGTTGTACTTCGTGTTTTTAAGAACGTTGTTGCGAATGCACTTTTGCGCATGTTTTTTTACATGTACATTTGTGCATGTCCATTTGAGCGAGTGTGTTTGTGCATGTTTGTTGATTTGTATTAATGTCCTAGGATTGTAGTTTGCGTTTTCATGATCCTTCTTGCGAATGCAGTTTTGCGTGAGTAATTTTGTGCATGACTTTGTACTTTTACTTATGTGCGTATCTTTTGTAGCGAGTGTTTTTGTGCACGTTTCTTGATGCGCATTCGTGTCCTCGAACTGTAGCGGGTATTTTCATGATCGCTGTTGGTATCAAACTATGACCATGTTCGAGTCCGAATTTGGAAATTTGTCATTAGACAGGAATTGTAGCCAGCTCAAATAGCTTTCTAATGCCGCCGGAACCAGTTGGTTTGGAGTCGGGATGAGAAAGTTATGCTCGATTTCGTGGACGCTACCGAAGATGTTGAGGGATCCTCTCTTCTATTTTTATTTTATTTTCCTAATGCAACTCTTTCT